GTCTGTGTGTGTGTGTGTGTGTGTGTGTGTGTGGTCAAATGTACATGACAAGATTTACCATTTGGACCACTTTCAGCGTGTGTTTCAGGGGCTTCAGGGCACCATGGTGCCTGCATCCTTCTTAGCCGCAGTTTCCTGGCATCTGGTGGCCTTACAGTGCTGCACGCGTGGATGGGTCACGGTTGTTACTTTCCTCCCCTTGTTTCCTGTTCGGTAGCTTTCAGTTTTTTATCCCTTCGTAAAACACCTTTATGCCAAAGACATGAAAGAAAAAAATGAGTGTGTAAGCAGATGTGTCAGGAGAGGGCTCGGGGGCGCTGTCTGCGTAGCTTTACAGCTCCCAGTCTTGCTGCCGGTTCGCTCTCGAAGGACCCAGTGAGCTTGCAGCCCCCCTAGCGTGAGGCCACTGCCCTGTCGAAGACCCGCGGGGACAGGGGTTCTGGGCTGATTTCGGGCTTGCTCCGTCGAGCTGTCCGGGCCACCCCTGCGTCTCACCGCTGTGTCCCTGCAGTTTGCTGGGGTCAGGCGGTGTGAGTCTGACAGCTTCGCCGCTTTTCAGAGTTGTCTCTGTTTCCTGGTTCTCTCCAGGTGTGTCTTACAGTGATGTGGGTCGTACTGACCAAAAGGTCCTCCTGGGGTCTTGACTGGGATTACACTGAATGTATAAATCAGTCTGGGGTGAAGAGACATCTTAATAATATTGAATCTTCCAAACCACAAGCACAGAACTTCTCTGCGTTTATTTAAGCCTTTAATTTCTTTCATGAGTGAAGGAAAAACTTGTGTTGCTTTCAGTATACAGACCCTTCACATATTTTGTTCGGTTTACTCCTAGTTCACTTCTTACTCTATTTTAATGGTACTTTAAAAAAAATAGGCTTTACTTTTTAGAGCAGTTTGGGGTTTACGGGCACACGTCAGAGATGCTGCAGGTTTGGTTCCAGACCACCCCAGTAAAGCGAGGACTGCGGTACAGAGAACCGTGCAAATTTTTGGTTTCCCGGTGCAGATAAAAGTTATGTTTTCTCTATACTGTAGTCTGTTAAGTGTTCAGTAGCATTATGTCTAAGAAAACAAAATACAGACCTAAATTAAAAATACTTCAGTGCTGTGAAATAAGCCAGAAAAAGAAAAATGCCGTATGAGATCACTCATATGTGGAATCTGAAAAAAAAAGGTAAAAGAGGCACTATGAACTCATCTACAAGACAGAAACAGACCCACAGACACAGCAAACAATCTTATGGTCACCGGGAAGAAGAGGGTGGGAAGGGATAAATTTGGGAGTTTGAGATTTGCAAATGTTCACCACTATATATGAAAATAGATAAAAACAAATTTCTTCTGTAGAGCACAGGGAACTATATTCAATATCCCGTAATCAATGAAAAAGAATATGAATACGAATATACGCATGACTGAAACACGTGCTGTACCCCAGAAATGAGCACATTGTAACTGACTGTACTTCAGTTAAAAAACATCGTGCTGAAAAACGATCCCCACCGTCGGAGCCTTCAGCGAGCTGCAGTCCTTTTGCAGCAGTAGCACAAAGATCACTGACCACAGATCCCCATAACTGTAATGGAAAATCTGAAGTATCGTGAGAATTACGAAAACGTGACAGAGGCACGAAGTGAGCAGATGCTGTTGGAAAAACGGCGCCGATCGACTTGCTTGGTCTGGTGTGGGCAGTGTCTGGATTCTGGCCGTTCCCATGGGTGTGTGGCGGCCTCTCGGGGTTTTAGTCTGCGTTTCCCTGGTGGCGCACCACGGGCAGTTCCTGTCCTGGGCTTGTTTGCCACCGGAGTGTCTTCTGCGGTGAGGTGTGTGTCCTGATCCTTTGTCTGTTTTCCACGTGGAGTGTTTGGTTTCTTATGCTGGGTTTTAAGAGCCTTTTGTATATTATCAGATGTGTGTTTTGCAAATATTTTCTCCCCGTCTGTGGCGGGTCTTTTCATTCACTTAATGCACTGTTTTTTAAATGTTAAAATTCGATCGTTCATTGCTCGACTATAAAACTATAATTGACTTTTATGTATTAACTTTGCAAAACACACATCTGATAAAAGACTTGTATGAAAAATGTACAAAAAGCTGTTAAAACTACAGCTTCACTGAGTCACTTACTAGAAGAGTTTTACAGATTCTGTGGGATTTTCTACGCGTTCAGCTGCGTCGGGGAGTTTGGCGTCTTCCTCTCCGTCTGCACGTGCGTCTGGCGTGGTGCTGAGCAGGGCGACTGGGAAAAGGCCTCCTCGTCCTGTTCTGGTCTTGGGGGAGCGTTCGTCTCTTCATTAAGTCGCAGGTGTGGGTTCGCGTGGATTCCTCCATGGTGTTAAGGAAGTTTCCTTCTGTTTCTAATTTACTGAGTTTTTTCTCTCTTTTTAAGTCATGACTGAATGCTGAATTTTGTCAGATGCTCTTTGATTACGTTTTGAGGTTTGAGCTGACCTTGCCTTCCTGGGAAGAGCCCCGTCAGGTTGTATTAGGGTGTCCTTCTGCAGTGAAAGCAGAACACACCTGCTTGTGTCTTAGAAGCGCTGGAAAGGTTTATAACTGTCGTCAGTAACAGAAAATACATTGGAAAAAGAGATTCACTGCCCACAGGGCTGCTTCAGACGCGCAGGTTCCCTTTTCCTTCCATTTTTTGTGCATCACACTTCTCGTACACTTGGGTTTTTAAAATTTTTAAATTTAAAGGATTTTATAATTTTCAAGAAATTTTAAATTAAAATTTATTTTTATTTTGAATTTATAAAAAATTTTATTTTTGTTTTTTAGTTATTTATTTATTCTTTTAATTGATGTAACATATACTAGTGAGTTAAGTGTGAGCTCACTTTTGTGTCCCGCCCCCTAAACACCGCGGACATGGCCGCAGGGATAACGCTTCTGCAGACGAGGGGCGGAACCAGGGCGGCATCCCTGCAGCGGCTGCTGGCGGTCACCCTGCTCCCCCAGGGGCCCAGCAGGGGTCTGCTTGCTGAGGCTTAGCTGCATTTGTCCGTCCGTCCGTCCGTCCGTCCAGGCCACGACTCCGTGAGAGGAATCTCAGACTCAGAGGGCCACTGTCCATCCGTCTGATGAAGCTTCTCCACAAAACGAGAGCTGAGCACAGGGCGTTCCTTAAAGAAGGTTTAGGAGGAAGGTGCAGCTTCGTGGTGGAGCACGCGCTCAGCACGCATGAGGCCCCGGGTTCAACCCCCAACCTAGTTACCTGCCCTGCAAAACAAGGCAGAAATAAGTAGAGCAGGTTTAAAGCTTTCAGACACGACCGAGTATTACAAAGAAAGGTCGATTCCACAAAATTTTAGGAAATCAAGAAAATACAGAGAAGAATAAAGAAACCCAATGTCCCCTCGTGAGGCCTCTCCAGACGGCGGCCTCTGGCACCCGGGTTCCCTGGGAGGTGCTTTTCTGTGCTTGTCGCTGGTCTCCCTCTCCCTCCCCCACGTGTGCTAAAGTGTGTAAGCTACTGTCGATAACTTTTGAAACAATAAGCTACTTTTCAGAGAAGTTTTAGGTCTACAGAAAACTGAGCAGAAAGTACAGAGGTTTCCCGTGTCCACCCCCACCCCCGTCTGTCCCGTTACGGCCGTCTTGTGTTAATCAGTGTGGCTCACGGGGACAGCTGGTGACCAGCATCGGTGCGTCACTGTTGTCCAGGGTCTGCAGCTCACCTGAGGGCTCAGTCTGGGCGTGGCACAACCTGGGGTCTGGACCAGTGCGGGACCTGTGCCCACCACTGCAGCGTCACCTGAGTAGTTTCGCTGCCCCAAGGACGCCCCGTGCTCCGCCTCGTCCCCCACCCCAGCCCCGGCCACCACTGCTGTCTTCACTGTCTCCCTAGTCTTGCCTTTTCCAGGCGGTCGTAGAGTTGGGGTCACCGTGTGTGGCCTGTTCAGGCTGGCTGCTTTCACTCAGCCGTGTACGCGTGCGCGGCTCCGCTGCGTCTTTTCACGACTTGATGGCTCGTTTCCTTTCACTGCCAAATGGCCCCGTGGTCTGGAAGGACCACGGTTTGTTTAGCCGTCACCTCCTGAAGGACACCTTGGTTGCTTCCGGGTTTTGGCAATTGTGAGTAAAGCTGCTGTAAGTAAACACTTGTGTGCAGGTTTTTGTGTGGACATGAGCTTTCAAGTCTTGGATAAATACCGGGGTGTAATCACTGGACTGCACGTTAAGAGTCTGTTTAGGTTTGTGTGGAAGCACCACACCGGCTCCCAGAGTGGCTGCACTGGGTCGCATCCCCGCCGCGACGGACAAGAGCCCCCGCAGCCCCGCGGCCCCGCGGCGTCGGTGTCGTCAGCGCCCACACGTGCGCCGCCCTGCCAGCTGTGTGGTGGCGTCTCACTTGTTCCATTGTGTTTCCCTGACGGCGTGTCCTGGGCTTCTTTGCCACCTGTGTGTCTCCCTTGGTGAGCTGTCTGTCCAGGCCGTTTGCCTGTTTTCCACTTGGGGTGTTTGTTTTCTTGTTGCTGGTTTTTAAGAGCTTTTTGTACATTTTCATGCAAGTCCTGCACCAGCTGTGTGTTTTGCAAATTTTTCTCTCAGTCTGTGACTTGTCTCTTCATTCTCTTAACTATTATATATAATTTTGAATCCTGCTCTTTGGAGTTTTAAAGCAAACTTTGTGTGCTTACTAAATCTGCTAAAAGCAGATGTAACGGCGCAAAGCATTCTACCGTATAGATGGCTCTAAATGGATTTGAACAATTTCTCACTGTGGCCGGTCCGACCGCTCTAGTACAGGGATCTTTCTGACGCCTCTCCCTGTCTCCTTAGGATGTATTTTAAGAAGTAGAATTACAAGGCTCAGAAGTACCCATGGATGAATGATGCCAGTTCTCCAAAAACGTTTCATTCATTCACTGAACCTCGGTGTTTACGGAATAGCTGCTGTGCGCCGGGCGCTGTTCCAGGTGCTGACGGCGCGGTGCTGAGCGGGGAGGCACAGGGTTTTGCGGCTGTGCCATCCGGCACGTGTGGTGGCGGGGCTGTGACTGTAGAGGATGTGGCGTCTGCCCTCGTGGCGTTACTGAGCTCAGTTTCCTTCTTTGGTCCCTGTCCCTTCAGGGCAGGACCAGTCGACCTGGGAGATCCTGGAAGGCATGTGTAAATCGGACTTCTAGAGTCAAGTACACAGTGGGACGTGCTATTTCAAGGGATCCCAGGATGAGTTTGAATCTTTTTCTCACTCAGAAACCGAATTCTTTGACTACAACTCAGCTGAGTTACGAATTATTAGTAGAGAGAGCCAGGGAGGAAGAGAGAGGCCAGCTTCTGTGTGGCTCATCAGGTAAAGGAGGCTGTCGTAGTAAAAGTTATGAAACCCTCAGGGCTGAGTGACAATGAAAGCTTCCATACCTAAGCAGGTGGGACGCAGCAGGTCGGGGCCTGGAGGGACACTTACAGCTTCATGCGGAGACGAGACTAGAGGTTAGTGAGCTGTGTGTCTCAGTTTCCTAGGTGCCGCGGCGAGTCATCAAAACATCGGGCAGCTTGAAACAGCTATTGCCTCACAGTTCTGCAAACCAGAAGCCCGAGATCAAGGCTCTGGTGGGGGCAGTAGCTTCCGGGGGCCCCGACGGCGGATCTACCCCAGGCCCCTGTCCAGCTTCCGGGGCCCTTCTTATAAGGACGCCTGTCGTGGGATCAGGGCCACCCTCATTGTAGGTGACCTCAGCCTCACCTGATTACGTCTGCGAAGAGCCTGTTTCCAAACGAAGCCACACTCTGAGGTTCCGGGTGGACCTGAGTTTTGGGGGGCCCTTTGCAGCCCACTGCAGTGTGCGGCCTGAGCATCAGCAATAGAGGAATAAAGCAAGACAGAAAGAAGGAAGAATAATGGGGTAAAAGCAGACGTTAATGAAGCAGAAGTCAAGATAATGGCAGACTGTCTGAAGAGATGGATGAAGCAGACAGGCATCTGCGGGGGCAGCCATGTCAGGAAGAGACACGCAAACTGTGATTTGCCTCAGGTGGGGGGTGGGGAGTGGGGAGGAGGGTGGAGGGGGCGAACTACAGCTGCCCACGTCCCCCGGTTCAGCTCTTCTCATCTGCGTGGACGCAGAAGGCGCCTCCTCCAGGAAGCCCTCCGCGACTCCTCCCCGAGGTTGGTCTAGAGCCTCGCTGCTGGCGCAGCCCTGTACCTGGTCCTTTAGTCGTCTTGCTGTGGCTCTCACCGTCTGCTTCCCTGTTCAAGATCTCACAGTAACCTCCTTCGTGACACAACTGTTTCTTTTTCTTTGTTGCATTTTTGGTATGAGGCCTGGTATATAGAAGGTGCTCAGTGAATGATCTCACCCTGCCTCTGACTGGCTGGGTGCCCTGTGGGCACGTCCTTCACCCTCTCTGGGCCTCGGCTTCCCCGCCTCACCGGTGGGGTGACTCCCTCGTCTGCCTTCCTCTCTGCAGCCCGGGGCGGGGGTGCTTGGGGCTCCTGCGGGCCTGGCAACGTCGGCCCCTCCCCTGGTCCTGGGTCCTCGGGTACCTCGGCTCCCCTTGGACTGAGGTTTCACAGCGGGCGGGGAGCAGCGCTCAGGGTGTGCGGGAGAGGCCTGCAGGGAGGGGACGCCTGCCCACATCCGGCCACCGCCCTCAGGGGCGGCCTCTCCCGCTCGGTGTGTGAGGCCCTCGTGAGGAGTCTAGTGGCTCGATGAGCTGCCCCCAGAAATCCCCATGAGGGACAGAACGGGGGTGTCCTCACCCCCGGGACGGAGTGGGAGCAGGGCAGGACCTCCACTCTCCCAGGGTCCCAGACGCTGGGGGGCCAGCTCAGTTCCAGAAAGCCTCCCTGGACTCGGCCCCCTGAATGTCATCTGCGATGCTGAAGGAGGAAAAATGTGGTCGGAAGGTGACCACGACCATCATCACTGCCCTGGGGGCTCTCGGCCCTGAGGGCAGGGCAGGGACCGTCCCCGGAGCTGCGTGACGCGATTTGGGGCAGATGCTGGCTGCGAAGCTTTCTGGAAAGGCCATTCCCACACTCTTGTTATGAAGATTCCTTGGCCTGGCTTGCCTGTTCTGACCCCGAGCCCTTGACCGCCCCACAGCCCGGACAATTCATCAGCGTGGAAACAGGAGACAGGAAGGGGAGGCTCCGAGAATGAGAGATTTTCCTGGAATCTCTGGGGTGGGGGGAAGGGACGGTGTCCAGAAATATCGGTCTGGATGGTCCAGGCAGAGCCCGGGGGTTGTCCTCCTGCTGTGCCCGGGGGCCCTGGCTCCCGGCCCCCATGTCCTCTCAACACCCCTCCAGTGGCCTCCGTGTTTCCCTCCTCACTTGACCCTTTGCTGCCACAGATGGAAAGTCCTCTCCGTGCTGGGACAGGGGGTGCTCTCCGGTGCTGGAGAAGCAGGCCTGGACCACGGCTTCCTTGAAGAGAAGTGGCTTCTGGTGGCCGCATGGCGAGCCTGGGGTCCTGACCGCACCGTGGACCCCAGCCAGCCTCTGTCTGTAGAACCAGCCTCTGCCGGGAGTGGCCCCGGAAGGTTGTCGTGTTTCCCAGGGCCCTGGGGCCGGGCACTGCGAGGCCGCATCCTGGCCGCACACTGGTGTCACCACGGCTGCTGCCGCTGCTTTGTTTGGTCACAATTCCTCGAGCTGCTGGCTCTCCCGAGGCCTGGCCTGCCGGCCTGCCATCCTGCCGTCCTGCCGGCCTGCCGTCCTGTGGGAAACCCTCTGCAACCCCACCCTCGCCTCCAGTCCCGTACCACAGGTGACTGAGACGGACGCCGGGAACCCTGGCTCTGGAGGGGTCGTCCCTGCCCCTCAACCACCTCCGTGGGGCTCTCTGTGTCCTGGTCCCCGGACGTCGGCCTCGCGCTCTCACCTGTGGCTGCGCGGCTGAGTGCTGGTGTGTGGTCGTGACAGTTCACAGACACGAGGACCGTCTTCCTGTCTTGACTACATCATTCATGTCTCTGTCCTCCGTCCACTCTTACTTCAGCCAGTGCTGGTGGCACCGCCTCTTGCAATGAGGGGAGGGGGTCACTGTCAGGTGGGCCATGCTCCCCGGCAGCTGGTCATTTTGAAGCAACGAGACGTGAGCTCCAGCTGGTGTGAACAAAATGCTTTGGAGGCGTACAGAGGAAGGGGAGGTGATAGGAAGGCTTGTTGCTGGAGGTTTCATTGAAGTGGGCCTTGAAGCATATGTAGGAGTTCACCAGGGATGCCGTCTAGGGGATGGGCAGTAAGGGGAGGAGAGCCCCTTACTGCTTTCCGGTCTTTCCCTCGGCGAGAAAGCAGGTCCCCTGGGCGAGGTGCTGTTTTCCGCTCCTGGGGCGCAGACCGTGGAATTGCCTGAGAATCGAGCCCTTCCTGTTGGAGCCCAGGTCTCCTCAGGGTGAAGGAGGCAGAGGACATCATTTCTGGGGTTTGTCATTTATTTAGGTGGTTTTAGTGGTATTTCTGTCTACACAGCAGTAAACAAATGTTTCATTTTTATCACGACATGACTGTTCCTTCCAGCATGTTTGTGTTGCACCAACGTAGGACCAAGAAGGAAGCTGAAGGCGTTCCGCCCCAGCCCTCTCCTCAGCGCTTGTAAAGATGGTTCCTTTCAACTTTGTTCTCGCGGGCATGTCTCACCCCCTCCACCTCCTCCTTTCCTAACTGTGTTTAAACTCTAGATGTAACGTCAAGTAAAACAAGAAGGAAAATGTCTGTATTCTGGGTTACTCCGATTTTCAAAGTAAAAAAGTGAAAATAAAAAGGTATTCATTCATTCATCTAATGAATCAGATCTGTTAACTGCTGTGTTACTAACTCCTTAGTTTGTAATTTCTTTGACTATTAGCTGTGTTCTTTGAGCCTCTGCTTTGTCAGACCTTAGCCTGTCTCACTGGTCAGCTTGCTTCTGCAGAATTCTGCCTCCCTCGTGCTGGCTGAACTTTTCATTTTGCATCGTCTGTATTGATAACATTTATACCTTTGCAGAAAAGCACCACTTTGTCTTTTACACGTTGTCTATAGGTTCATAATAAGATCTGAATATTAATAATCAGGTATATTTGAAAGACGCCTTTGCTGCACCTGCAGACACGGATAGTTGAGTGAGTGTGAAGGAGCAGGCTGACTGTGAGTCTCCCCTGGAACGCGGGACGCTGGGCTCCGGGCCCTCTGGTGTCTGGGTTTCTGGGGGGATGGCTGAGCTGTTCTGATTCCCAGGCCCTGGTGGGAGACGGGAGCAGCTGCAGAGCCGCAAACAGAGTGTCAGCTTGCCAGCGGCCTGACCCGCTCACCCCACCAGGACGCACGCTGCTTCTAACGTCGTGCAGAATCGGCATGTACATGTGTCCAGCTTTTGATGAGGGTCTTACCGCTGATCTGTTTCCTGAAAGGTTAGAAATCCTCTTACGAGGAAAGAGCAAGCGTCAACAGTGGTGCTGAGAAGACGCCAGGCAGCGAACGCGCGTAGAACGAACGCGGGCGTGAACGGCTGGCTTTGGGGAGGTGGTGGATCCCTGCCTTTTTCCTGCAGGTTTTCTGTGGGAGATTCCCCACCCCCGTCTGAACTGCCAGGTCCCCTCGGGGGCCTCTGTAAATGTCTTCTTCAGGAAGGACGAGCCCTCTGGGGGTGGGAGTTGCCCCCAGAGGTCTCCTGCACGGTAGCTTGAATTAGGTGGCTTCACGGTTCTGTGAGGGCTCGCAGGGTGCCTGGGAGGCTTGAAACACTGGGGGGAGCTGCCTGGAGGGGCCGGACGGCGGCTCGAGGGGGTGGGGCAGCGCCTGGAGGGCCGGGGGCAGGAGTCCTGGGAAGAGCACGGGGGACCGGGATGCACATCCTCACTGCCTGCTTCTCCTGGGAGACTCCTGGGTCAACACCAGGTTGGGGGAGGAGACTGCGGGGTTCGGGCTGTGTTCGGGGAAGGGGGCCCTTGGTGGATGAGGGGGAGGGGGGCCCGGTGCTGAGCGTGTGGGGACACAGGTGAGGGTCTGCCTGCTGAGTGACCCAGCTCCTCCCTGTGCGCTCCCTGAGGTCACCCACTGGTCATGAGAGCGCTCTGGGGACCCAGGGGTCGGGCGTGGCGGACCTGCTGTCACTGCAGGCCCCTTTGCACTTTTTGGATTCCCACCCTCTGTGTGTAGACGGTTTCTAAAAAGCTGTGATGACCAGAGAGGGAAGAACAGGAGAGGTTTGCTTCCCTGGTACCCACCCACATCCGTGAGCAGAGCGGGTGTCTCCTGCCCCGGTGGGGGTAGCCTGGTGGGGCTGGTGGGGCCTCGGACACTTGCCTGGTAGACCTGTGGAATCTGGTACTGGGAGACGTTGCTTGCAATTGCGAGTGTGCATGAGCCTGGAGCCAGGCTCTGTGGCCACAGAGCTGTCGAGTTGAGGGGGGACGTGGAGCAGCCCTTGGTGTCCAGGGCGCAGGGCAGGGGTAGCACAGGGCAGCCCCGGAGGCGCGGAGGGCGGAGGCTGGGCAGGGGCTGTGGCCGGGTGGGCTGGGTCCCTGCTTTCCCGGGAGCACCCCAGCCACACACCAGCGGCCCGGCCTCTGGGGTTCTCCCGTGACAGTGCCCTCTTCACCTACTCCGTTGCCCCTACAGGAGGAAACCAGACAGCTTCTGGCTCAGCAGAAGTCGGCTTCCCAGTCAGACTTGCACGATGAGGAGGTCTCTCCGTCGCTGCCAAACCCCGTGGTGAAGGCCCGCCACCGCCGTGGGGGCGTGAGCGCCGAGGTGTACACGGAGGAGGACGCCGTGTCCTACGTGAGGAAGGTGGGCCCGCCCAGCCCTCACCCGCGTCCAGTCCCAGGGCCATCCCGGTGCCTGCTGGCCTGGGCCCCGCACGGCCTGGCCTGAGGCTCTTTGGGGCCGCCACTCCCAGCAGGCTTGGGAAGATTATGGGTGTGGGCGGAGGACCTTGAGTCCCGCCTTCACCCTTGAGGCTGGACCCCATGGCGGAGCCCGTCCAGTGGAGATTCTGCCCCGGCCTGGACATCGCCCTCCTCCGTCTGTGCCTCAGTGGACAGGTGCCGGGACCATGTGCACCTGCCCTGGACCCGCCCTGGATGTGGGCCTGTCATTTCCATCCCATGCCTGTCTGCAGTCAGCTTTGCTTTTTTTTTTTGTACTTTTTGTTTTTGATCTATTTTAAAAATTTTTTATAATTATGGCAAAATATGCATAATGTGAACTTCACCATCCGTGTTAGTCAGCTCAGGCTGCTGTGACCAAGGACCGGCGGCTTGAACTGCAGACTGCGATTGCCGCGTCTGGAGGCGGGGAGTCCGAGGGGAAGGTGCCGGGGTGCGCTCCTGGTCAGGACCCTCCTCCTGGCCTCCAGTCCGGCGGCGGAGGGGGCGGGAGGCCATCACCACCCGAGGGGCACAGCCAAGTGTCAAGTTAATTTTTATTTTTTTGTTTTCCAATGTTTCAACAAGTATTTATTACCTTAAAAAAAGCCAGTGAAACAAAGAAATCAACAGAAGACATAACGCCAGGGCCTGGAGGTCTTGTGAAGCCAAGACCCCGAATTTGAGATGACACTTAAGTCGCCTCTTGGGCCACTCTGTGTCCCTTGCCTTTTCTTTCCTTATTTTTTAAATTTCAAACAACTGGCGTGCGCTTCAGATTTTAACTGTCTGCCATCACTGGGAGTGACACCTGGAAGGCTGAGCAGCCGGTTTCGAGCCACGCCACCAGTTCTCAGGGTCGGCCCAGGCCCAGTGCTCTGCCCGCCCCGGGACGCCCCCAGGTCTGACCTCCCTTGGCCTCCCCGCAGGTCATCCCCAAGGACTACAAGACCATGACGGCGCTGGCCAAAGCCATCTCCAAGAACGTGCTGTTTGCTCACCTGGACGACAGCGAGAGAAGGTAGGCACGGGGGCGTCTCTGGTCGGGCGCTGAGGCACGGGGGTGCCCGGCTCCTGGACGCACGTCGGTTTTGGAAGGGGGGCTCCTGGGGCTCACGAGGCAGGGCCGGTGTCCAGAAGTCAGGTGCTGTGCACCTGGGCTGCCTCCTCCCATGCGGGGCAGGATCTCAAGTACCTGCACGCCAACCCTGGCACAGAAGGACACCCAGGGGCCTTACGGGGGCCTGCTGTGCCCGCGCTGAAGCCGCTGCCCCGTGGGGACATCCAGCTGCCTGTCCTCGGCGCGCGGGTTCCGAGGGAGGGTGATGGCCGGCAGGGGCTCGCGGGGCCTTGGGAGGGGACACGGGGCGGGGGCCCGGGGGCTGTGAAGGGGCTGAGGTGTCGTGCTTGGGGATCGTGATCATGGAAATACCGGAGACACTGGGAAGTTTTGATAGAATATGAAGCAAAACGTCCCCCCTCAGCCAACTCCCAGGGAGCCACTGGGCGTGCTCGGGGTTTAGTTCACACACCCGTCCTGGCCGCGTTGTCACAAGCGGAAGGAGTCGCGCCCTCCAGTCGGTCCCACTTGAGAGGCCGGGAGCATCTCTGTTTGTCAGCGAAGACTTCCCGGTGGTCGTGGCGCCGTTTCCGTGGGGTTGTGTGCCGTGACCGCCTTCACGCGGGATGTGTGCACTCTTCACGGTGCGCAGCGCTCTGGGGACACGACCATCCCTGTCTGCTTGTTGGGAGTGCTTGTCTGTTTCCTTAAGACAGACTCCTCCACGTGGATCAGACTAAATGGTGTTTAAAAAATTCTTTTCTCTTGCATTTTTGGCAAACTGTAATTCTCTGTTAGGTAACTGAGCACGCTGCGAGAACAGTCCATACGAGATCTCCGAACAACACAGAACTACGTGGAATGAAGGGAGAAGGTCCCTCTGCGTCCCCGCCCCCCAGGGGCCCCCGGCCGTGGCCTTGGGTCGGACCTGTGAGTGGCCCGGACTCCTGCCCAGGGAGAGAGGTTTGGGCTCAGGATTACAAGCACTTCAGGTCCGCTCACAGGCTCGACAGGGGACGAGGGGAACATGGAGGTGTCCAGGCCCTGGGGGCCCCTGGGGCCCTGGGACTTAATCCTGGGAACCTGGGACCGTCAGCTTACGTGGCACGAAGGAACTTTGCCAACATGAAGAAGTTAAAGGTCTTGACGTGGGGGGTCATGTCGTGTAAGAGGGAGGCAGGGGCTTTGGACAGAGGAGAGCAGCCTCGTGGCCACAGAGCCGACGCCAGCCCAGGGCCACGGGCAGCCCCCAGAGGCTGGAGGAGGCGTGAGGCCCCGGCTGCACCGCGGGTCCCACCTGCTGGTGCCGACCCTGGGCGCCCACCTCCGAGACCGCGAGACGGGTGCTTGTTGTCTCCTGCCCTCGGCCTGGAGGTGCCGCTGGCAGTTGCGTCCTCGGCGCTGAGCAACCCGGGGACGCAAGTGTTGTATCTGCTGCCATGTGAACGTCAACGTCCATTTAAAATCTGTTTACGTTAAAATACAGTTTTGCGTGGGTGGTGCATCCACAGTTTCAAAGTAGAGAAGGTGCTGGGGTCCAGAGCGGGAGGCCCTCAGGCCGCTGCTTGAACCTTTCTGCCGACAGACCCTCAGGTGGGGGTTTGCAGGTGCCCGGCTGGCGGCCACACAGACCACCGTCCACTCTTCAGTCAGTTTCAGGCCCTCAGGGAGGGGCAGCTGACCGGGCCGGGGTCCAGCCGTGCCCTCCTCTCTCGGTACCGGTGCCAGCCCAAGGGTGGAGGCGTCCCTCGGGGGGGCCACATGCCGAGCGCACCTGGGCCCGCAGGCAGCGGTCGCCGCGAGAGGCCGGGAGGGGGGCCTGGGGGTGTGGTGTGGGCGTCACCCCAAAGGTACTTTGCTTGGAAGGTGGATTTTGTTCCCGGGGCCCTGGTTTCGGGCCTGGTCTGTGCTCAGCTCGTCCAGAACCAGATCCAAGTGTGAGAGCGGGTCCTTGCTTGTTGGTGGCTCCGGCAGCAGTGATGAGCCGGAGGAAACCTTGTTCCCACTCAGAGCAGCACAGTGAGCGCGGCCCGGGCCCTTGGGACGTCCGCTGACCATGCTGGGTCGGCGGGGCTGGGTGGCGGTCCAGCCCGGGTCTGCTCGGGTGCCGGGGGCTGTGGCCGTTGGAATCCCCGACGTCCCTGTCTGCCTGGAGGTCACCAGGAGCCGCGCTGGCTGTCCTCTCCGACCTGACACACGGAAGGTGAGGACAGCAGGCTCAGCAGACCGCATGCCCTGGGCTCGTTTCTCCGGTCAGCGGAGTTCCGTTGACTGGACTCATCTGCGTTTCCTGGGTGCCGGGCAGAGCTGGGGAGACGGGGGCTCCTGCCCTCCAGGGCCCGCCTCGTCCGACAGGTAAATGCAAAGACTTGAGGGTGTGCGCTGCACAGTTGTTGGAGCGGCCTGTGCACTGTGAAGTGGGGTGACCGCTCACAGCAGGTGGGGAGCTGGCGGGGTGGTACCTCCAAGGGCGTGGCTGGAGCAGAGGCTTGGGCAGGATGGCCGTGGGTCACCCCGTGGGGCAGGCCTGGTGTGCACCTGTTGGGCTTGGGGCAGCAGGGTTACGGGGGCGCAGAGACCCGTGATCTGAGTGGTTCTGGGTTCACGGAAGTGTCTTCGAGGTTCCCAGGTTCTGGCCTCACTAGACCTCACACTTCTCGTCTGCCCAGTTCCTTCCTCTTGCTGTGGCCATGCCGGGAAGCAGACGGCGGGCCCCCAGGTTGTCCTCCCCAGAGGCCCAGGGCCTCGCCCATCTCAGGGTCTGGACCACATGAGCTGGCCAAGGTCTGCAGAGGGGCCGAGAAGCGGGCTCTGTGCCCCCGAGGCCCCGCTCGTCACTGCCTTAGTCACGGGTCGCTTCCTGGAAGGGCCTGGCCTGGTCCGGTCCCTGGAGGACGGTGGCCTGAGGAAGGGAGGCCACAAAACGGGATTTCTGACACTGGGGAGCTGCAGGTTGACGGGCCCTCCGTCTCTCCCCACGGGAGCGTTTGTGGACAAATCTGAAAAATGATCTCCAGACCCGCCGGACCGCGTTCTCTGTCTTATTTGTTCCCATCGTGACAAATGCCTGTACCATAAGGTTGGTCATTTCAACCATTATAAGTGCGCAGTGGGACACCGGGCACACTCACAGTGCCGCCCAGCCAGCACACTCCTCGTTTCCGCGATGTTTCGTCACCCTGAACAGAAACATGGACGCTCAGCAGCGGCTCCCCGGCCCCACCCGGCCCCTGCTGTAATCCGTAGTCGCCTTTCTGCTTCTCCTGAGCGGCCTGTTGGAGGCATTTCAAGTCAGCGGACTCGTGAGCTCGTGTCCTGCTGTGTCCAGCTTCTCTCGCAGAGCACCACGTCCTTGGGGTTCATCCGGGCAGTCGCAGGTGTCTCAGCCTCATTCCTTTTCCAAGGGTGAGTGATACTCTGGCGTGTGGATGGGCGACAGTTTGTTTATGTTTACCAGCTGACCGGCACATGGGTGGTTTCCACCTGTCGTCCCTGTGACCCGTGCTGCTGTGGACGTGGTGTCTGAGTGCTCGGGCGTGTCCCTGAGAGAGGAGTCGCTGGGAGGAGTGATGATTCCATGGGGAGCTTTTGGAGGAATCGCAGTCTCCGTTTCTCTTTTGGCCCCACTGGACGTCAGCTGCCCTTCTCTGTGCTGCCCAGAGGGCCCCCGGGGGCGGCTGTGTTTAACGCAAACTTCTCGCAGCCATTCGTGACCCCTTCCAGCCCCCGGCGCCAGCTGGTTCAGAAAGGTTTGGCTCAGCGCCATCCTGGCCTGAGCGCCAGCATGTCCAGGACACTGGGGTCCTGTGCCCTTGGCCCTCAGTTTCCAGAACCACATGGTTCCCTCTGCCTCTGACTTTTCTGCATCCAAGAGCCAGGTGGACAAGAAGTGGAGGAAGCAGATGGTTGGATTAATATTCCTCTTTGCCAGGTTGGCTTGGAAAGAAAGCTTTCACATGGGATGTGTCTGTTCCAGATCTTTTGTTTTGCACAGAGGAAAACTCACTTTCCAGATTGAAGCTCCAACGGGCTCCTGTTTCTGGCCACAGTCTCTACAGAAACAGGCTGATGGTTCAGGAAATGGGTTCCAGAGGGCGTGGGCAGGGAGACACTGTCTCCCGACCTTCCACAGGATACCTCCCTGTGGGCCATCCAGAGTGTGCTTTTCCAGCTGCTGGATGCAGGGCTGCACAGCGTTGTCTCCGCTTGGCTGTGGTCTGGCAAGTGCGCCCGCCTCGACGGAGGCTGCTCCCCGGCGCCTGCCCCTGGGGTAGAGCGCCAGGGTGTCCGTTTGCGGATGAATCCACCGTCGGGGGGCACCACCTGCTGCCCTGTGGCTCTTCCTGCTAAATTCAGGTTTGAGACAACCCCATGCCACGGGCTAGGTGATTTTTTTTCATTTTTCTGTTTTATTAGGTAGAATTGTTACAGTTTGACTGCATGTATACATTATGTTGCATGTAAATACATGCATAGGCTGGGTGTTTTGCTCTTGTCGGCTTATAATGGTATTTGCAGTCTGCGTGGAGGTGCTTGTGTGTCGGGAGGAGGTGAGGACTGTGTCCCTGTCCTTGGCTTTTGGGGAAGGTATTGCTTCCTGGCTGTGGGAGAGGCTTCCTCCTGCACGGGCGGCGTTGCCAGTCGGGGTTTATTGCAGGCTTTCTGTGGGTCTGTGTGGGGGCTGCGGAGCCTCAGTTTCCCCCTCTGAGAATAAACAGGATGCCCTTGGTTACAGCCACACCACCTGCCGTGGCAGAGCCCGAGTTGCAGCACAAATCTCTGGGGCTCCAAAGTGCATGTTCTGCCCAACCAGGGACAACAGTTCACACACACCTGCGTGGGAGAGGAAGGTGGGAGGGCGGCTAGTCCAGGCCATGTCGTGGGGTGTGAGGTCACCTTTCCCTGGGGCCCTGGCTTGTTGGGCCTTGGGAGTGAGAGAGGGGACTGGGGGACTGGCATTT